ATGGAGGGAGTCGATGGGGAAACAGAGGGAGGGACATCTGTAATACTTTCAACAATAAAGACATTCTTTTAAAGGTATCTTGAGACCCCCTGGTCCACAACTTATTTCTTTTTAAAAGACTGCCCACCCACACACGTGTCTGACTTTCTTTCCTTCATTCATAAAGCAGGTATTTGTTGACAGCCCACTATGCGACGGGCACTACCTACCAGGATGGGGTGAAGCTCGGGGACTGACTAACCCAGACAGGGGCAGACATTGGTATGATTTGCAGTTGACTCATTCATGTCCAGATCTCTCCTGTTTTGAAGATTATATGAGGTCCAAAATGCATCTCTTCTAAGAAACAAAATATCCACTACTTGCTCGAAGGGAGGGAGGCTTGTCACTACTGAATGAAGTAAGGTTGAATGAATACAAAGAAAATTCATTAGAAAGTAGATTGAGAAAAATGATCAAATGTTGCAGAACATTGCTGGAACAGGAGTCAGACTGCTGATTGATACTATTATTAATGAAAATGACAGCATGACGTCCTGAACACTTCTAAAACCCTTGTTCCTCAAAGCACTAAAAGTCTTGGAAATAACGTAATACTATCAACAATAAAGATATGAAAAGGAAAAAAAATTAAAACTCTTGGAAATAGATGTATGTACCCTGTACACTTTAACCTGTTATTTTTGCCCCAATGCCTACCAGCAACTTTCTGTTTATACAGAAAGAGAACATCTTTATACTCAAAGCATCTTTCTTCATCTGGGGGAGAGAAGCACAGAGGACTGGACAAAGAATTAGGAAGGCAGAGGACAGCCAGTGAAGTGGTCAAGTACAGCCTGCTTATTGGCCTTGAGACCAATTTTCCTTCCCTTGTAAATGTCCCTTAGACCAGCACTGTCCATTAAGATAGCCACGTGATTATTTAATTTAAATGAAGTACAATAAAAACTTACATTCCTTTTTGCAGTAGCCATATTTCAATCTTCAGTAATTATAAGTTGCTACTGTGAAAGACAGCACATATATTTAGAACTTTTCATCATCAAAGAAAGTTCTGTTGAACTGGGTAAGCACTATAAGAATTTCAAGGATAAAGTTGATAAATTGTGAATAGCTTTTGTTAAAGAATAGCAGTTAAAAGATCACAACATGATGAAGAGTGTGACAGAGTGTTACAAAATAGGCTTATTAAAAAGTAATCCAATAAGTTTCTCCCCAGTGTTCGTGTGTGTTTTTCTTGGCTCTCGGTTGGTGTCAGTTTCTCCCTCTGTCAAGGTTTCTTTCCCTATCCTTTTTCTCTTTCCACTTCTTTCTCTCACCACATTATTGGCCATATTGACTGAAGTAGAGTTTAAAATATTTCCATCATTGGATATATTGAATAAAGTTTTGTTTTATCCTATTCTTCAATTTTTTTATTATCCTGTTCTTAAATTTTAAATCAGCAGTTTCACTTTTTTAAAAAAATATATTTTATTGATTTTTTTTTACAGAGAGGAAGGGAGAAGGATAGAGAGTTAGAAACAGCGATGAGAGAGAATATCGATCAGCTATTGGCCATATTGACTGAAGTAGAGTTTAAAATATTTCCATCATTGGATATATTGAATAAAGTTTTGTTTTATCCTATTCTTCAATTTTTTTATTATCCTGTTCTTAAATTTTAAATCAGCAGTTTCACTTTTTTAAAAAAATATATTTTATTGATTTTTTTTTACAGAGAGGAAGGGAGAAGGATAGAGAGTTAGAAACAGCGATGAGAGAGAATCATCGATCAGCTGCCTCCTGTACACCCCCAACTGGGGATGTGCCTTCAACCAAGGTACATGCCCTTGACCAGAATCGAACCTGGGACCCTTCAGTCCACAGGCCGATGCTCTATCCACTGACCCAAACCGGTTAGGGCAGCAGTTTCACTTTTTACCATATCTTTAAAAATAATCCAGGGAGAACCAAGTTACATTTAACCTCTTCTGTGACCCTTTATTATTTTCCCGTGTGGGTCAATGACCCCTGAAAAAAATGTCCCCTAGTTTGGGGAACAAAGTCTATAAAATGACTAAACTAGGGCTTTCCACGTGGTCTACAGACCTTTGTGTTTTAATATTAAAATGTAAATACAGTGTCTGTACTTTTGTTTCTGTTATGAATTTACCTAGGATATTTATCCCGCAGGGCATTGTCATTCATCCCATTCATTTTAATTCATAGTATACTTCCTCCTCTCCTCTCCCCCTTCCCTGATGAAAATCATGTGAGAGAATAGGTACTTTATCTGCAAGTCTGATAAAAATACTAGGAAATCTACCCAAGATTGCTAATTTCAAAATGAGCCCAGAATTGTACAAAGGGAGCATAGCAAAACTACAGTTAGCTCACCTTATTTTTATCCCGTGAGCCAGAACAGAGTGCTATCCCCTCAAAAGTTCGAATAAAATGGTTGTAAGCAGGCCTTCCAGGGTGGCAATCACAGCTTCCATTGCTACTTCTGGGTTCCATCCAAAGCAAGTACAAAATTTTTAAAAAGCTAACATTTATTGGGCTCATTCTATCTGCCAGGTACTTCATACATGTCTTACTTATTGAGAATACTCCCAAACATAACTCAGTCAGATCCTACTTACTGCTTATTTTCGCCCAAAAGATAGAAGTGGCCAAATGCATGGCCCAACCCATGAGCACTGAAGTGGACTTGGACTGAATGTGAGAGTAAGCAGAAGCACATGGGCCTCGTGTATTTGTATTTAGTGGACTCTGCCAGCCAGCCAGTACCCACAGGGCATCAGCCTACTGTGGATTGGTAACATATGTAAATACCCAAAATGTGTTTAATTCTGGAAACTTAATGTTGTCTTAGACTTACTTTCTTCGTGTCTTTTCAAACACAGCTTCCAGTTTTCAAAAAAAAGGGGTCAACTACAAGTAACCACTTGCTTTGTTGTACTTACCCCAACACACGTTTCCCACCAAGATGTAGATTGGGTTTTCTTTCCTAGCACTGGTGTGTTTTTGTAACTGTTCATGGACATTTAAAGTTTTGGATCTCTGTATAAAGCTACTTTGTGTATTTTGAAATCCAAGTAACTGGTCTGGATGGGCTCTGACTACAAAATACTATTTTTTGGTTTATACTCTATATTCTTGAATCCATTCTGTATGCAGTGTAAGCTTGAGTACCTACTAAAAGGAAGGTCAAAATGTTTAAACAGCATTTCTCTCTAAGAGTTCATATGTATTGTCATCTGTACAGGAAGGACTTGTGTACTGAATTATTTTTGGCCCTAAGAATATGATGATTGAGCAAAATTCCCACTCTCTACCCTATAAGCACATGTAAATTAGCCCAACTCCAGAAATGAACTCAGATTAGTCAAACCCCCTGCCCTGGCCCTTTACTGGTGATTTAAATGGAATGGGCTTATGACCCGATTCTGACCAAACCAGCTCCAAGAGAAGGTTGCTGGAAGCTTCTGGAAAAGTTCTTTCTTCTTAGTGTTCATCACAGCCTTGTTTATAATGTTTAAAAACTGAAAATACCAAAATGTAAAACAAATTGGTTTATCAAACAACAAGACGTGCAGCTATTAAAAATGATGATGAATGTCCCAAGTAGATTTTTCTGTGGAAAAAAAGCAAGTTAAAAAGAACATAATTGTAAAGTGTATTCCAAATAGCGTTATAAATATATATTTTGTTCATTATTTCTATCAATGTATATTTTATTAGGACACCAGAGTACCTCACAGAATCAACAGAAATGCTGAATAACCCAGCTTCCAGGAAGCAGGAAACGGGACTGCCTTGAGAACGTCACATAAGAATTCTGGAACTCTAAAAAGCCACAGAGACTCTCAGCCCTTTGAGTCTATCGCTCTATGAAAGTTGGTCTCCTCTACAGTCTCTGCACATGGCAGGTCAGTGGTGGCCGACAGTCCAGTTTTGTCACCAAGAGAAAGAGAGGAGGCTTCTGTTCACTCCCAACCTACAGTTAGAAGGATGTCGGGAAATGGCTGGCACCTCTTGGGTAACACATCAGCTCCTTGACCAAATCCCCGAAGCCAGAAGGAGGCAGGTACATGCCTCCTGACCAACTGTGGGAACCAGGGAGGCCAGGCCACACATGACGACGCCTCCCTTCCTAATTACATGTCTAGAAAAATAGGGGCAGAGTCTGAAGAAGAGGGACAGTTCTGTTCCAGAAGGAAAGAAGTGCTAGACCGACAAACATTCCTACATAAACTTAAGTGAGCATCAGAGTTAGCCGGGAAAACATGTTACAATTACACAGTGAATTTTGCTCTCTCTTTCCACACAAACCGGGAGGCGAACATGTGTATTTTACAGTGGATACTAGGTATCCTAACCCCAGAGAATCCCCCTCTTCAATAATGGTGTGTTACTTATGTAATAAATTGTGCCTGTGTGTGTGTGTGTGTGTGTGTGTGTGTAGCTAGGCATTATAGGCTTACGGGTAATAATAGGGAAATAAGAGCATAGATCCACCAAATCAAAGTTTAAATAGGAAATAAGCTAATGTGGAATATTTCGAGCTTTCAGTTGCCTGGAGTGGTTTGTATGATGAATCTGTCTTGGTGTTCATATTTTTGTCTTGCCCTCCAAACTTGTCAACAAATCTCCAAACACTGGAATTATATAAATAATATGCCTGAGCAAAGTACACATTTTGTTTATGGGATCTTGTGAAGGGACTTAGATTCTGACACTTTATACATAACATCTGTAACTTTTTCTTTCTTTTTTTTAAATGCCCGTGGGACTCTGGAGTCGCCGTTTAAGGGAGGTCCTCACCAGTTCCTGTGCCAGAGAACTGAGGCACCTCTGATTTTAAAATAAAACACACTGGGAAGTACGCTTCTAGGAGGCATGACAGCATGCACGGAACCATGCCTGTTATTAATAAGCTTCGTGCAGAGGAGACAAAACTTGCGTGCCCCGAAGCCGGCAGCCTGCGCTCCGGTTCCCTTCCGTGCGAGCTTGCCACGCCAGCCGCACCTGCGCGCCCTGCACGCGTAAAGCTGGCCTTGGAACGCCTCCCTGGCCTGGCTGCTCACTGACCGAGCAGCTCTGCTCCCCGAGCGTTTCACACATCCTGCCTGAGCGGGTTTTATGACCGAGTGTTACCCACGCTCCGATAACAAGGAGACGCTGTGTCCTCCCCGGGAACTCACTCCCCGTCCCAGAAATATAGCGTGACTCCCCGCCCCGCCGGCCGGTAAAAGTGGAAACCGGCGCCGCCCTCCAGCACCTGCGCCTCCCGC